TATGATGAACATTTTTATCAGGCCATAATCTTGCATGATTTCAAAGTGTATTATGACTTTACAAGTCGGAGAGAGTGATATATTTACAAAATGACCCCATGAAAATTCACTACCCAGTCGGGCCAGTGACTGGGGAGATTTACTGGCCTGACTGGATTTTTACTAGCCACAGGCTAGCAGGTCAGTGGCTATTTAGCACACTGACCGATACCCCTGTCTGTTCTTAGAACAATTAGGAGGTAGGTGAGATATTTCACTCAGACCCTTGGAATGACAATACACAGCTGATTGAGTAGAAGCATGTTAATGTCACTTATCTCTGATCAGTACTGTAGCCAATCTTGGCATGTCCTACCATCATATTATATCATACTTTCATGAGATTCCACCCACAGTCATATAAACATGGAATGTACCCTAACTAAGTCTAGCTGGATCCCTATCACAACCCTCAGAACACGCAGATAATGTCACTTATCTCTGATCAGTACTGTAGCCAATCTTGGCATGTCCTACCATCATATTATATCATACTTTCATGAGATTCCACCCACAGCCATATCAACATGGAATGTACCCTAACTAGGTCTAGCTAGATCCCTATCACTACCCTCAGAACACACAGATAATGTCACTTATTTCTGATCAGCACTGTAGTCAATCTTAGCATGTCCTACCATCACATTATATCATACTTTCATGAGATTCCACCCACAGCCATATAAACATGGAATGTACCCTAACTAGGTCTAGCTAGATCCCCTTACACTGTCCCCTAGTTCATGTACTTGCCAAAACTGTTGCCATGGCAATTGTATTTACTAAGATTACCTTCATTGTGAAAATAGCAAGATGAGTTCAGTGTTCTGCATCTGTTTGCAATGAGATGCACATTGATGTATGGCTGGGCTATTGTGTTATGTCATAACACTTGGGGAGAGCGCCAACAAGAACCGCTGCAACAAGGCAGGTGCTACGTTATAACATTTATACCACCCTGTGTCATAAACATCTGTATTACTTTGAACAAACAGGGCCAATGTAATAATAATAATAAATGGATATTTCTTAAGCGCCATAGTCCATCCAGAGCATGCTCAAAGAGCTACATATATAAAAGAGTCACTAGAGTTCAAGAGGAAGAAATGACAATTCGTCAAAATGACCATGAGAATATTTCGCAGTTATAGGTTGTAGAGTGAGTGAGTGAGTGAGTTTAGTTTTACGCCGCACTCAGCAATATTCCAGCTATATGGCGGCGGTCTGTAAATAATCAAGTCTGGACCAGACAATCCAGTGATCAACAGCATGAGCATCGATCTGCGCAATTGGGAACCGATGACATGTGTCAACCAAGTCAGCGAAACTGACCACCCGATCCCGTTAGTCGCCTCTTACGACAAGATAGTCGCCTTTTTATGGCAAGCACATGGGTTGCTGAAGACCTATTCTACCCCGGATCTTCACGGGTCTTATAGGTTGTAGACTTTTTTGAAGAGGAAGGTTTTGAGTCCCGATTTGAATGCTTCTAGGGATGAAGCATTTTTTATGGGAGTAGGAAGACTGTTCCATAGGGTTGGTGCTGCAAATTTGAATGACCTATGGCCAAAGTGTTTGAGACGAACGTGGGGAACTGAGAGGAGATGTTGATTCTGGATAAGATAGATAATGTTTTACATTGTTTTTATAAGATGAAAGTTATTTTTTTGTAGTGTTGGAAGTGGACACATTCAATAAAGTTTGGAATAGTATCAGGAGGGAGAATAGTTTGTATCAGATTAACTTGGACAATGTCAATGTCTCCTCAATCAACAGTAAACTTTATTGCAATTAATTTTTACATGATTTATATAATTTATTAGGCCAGGCCAATTTTATGTCTTGTTTTACGGTCTTTTGTCCACGGACAACCTAAAGGCAGGAGGGAAAAAAAATCACCAGTCAAAGTAATATTCCTTTTAAATCCTTCAAATATTTTACTTTTGGCAATTTATGAAGTGTATATGATGCAAAAAGCAATCTAAATAATATTTCCTTGTACGTTTACGGTTTTGGCCAATATAAATATTCAGATTTTATTTTTGAGCGTGGAAAATGAATGTTTATTTTGTTCTTATTCGTAAAATAATACGACCAGCGGATCCGTAAAACAGGAAATAAAATTAGAGTGGGCTTGAAAAGAATAATTTCATACTTTAATGCTATGTTTTCGTAAGGCACAAACATGCACAGTGACAGCTAGGACTGCACAGTATTACCAGAATACCACAATATGCTTTTCAAACAATATTTGAAATTTTTTTTTGTGTTTCTGTGTATTGGGTAATAGTCTTGCTATTATTTCTGTGGTTTAATTCTGGGCTGATGGATTCAAAATTTTAGAGGCAGGATGGTGGCCTTGTGGTTAAAGTGTAATCTTGTCACACAGAAGGCCCATGTTCGATGTCCCACATGGGTACAATGGATACAAACCAAACTCGCTCACTAACTCACTTTGCCAATACATAGACCTTGTGACAACTGTCTTGTATATTAAGGAATTTCAGAACAATAGACCAATTCAAACATTGGAAACTATTTCTGAATTACTGTGACAATATACATGATACAAAGACCATGTCAAATGTGCTTGAGTAATGCTTCTTATTTAAATGTTTTTGCAAAGACACATATAAATCTTCGGAATTTCTTATTTGCTGAGATTTAAATATTTTTTACAACAAGCATCATGAAGAATTGGAAAAATTGGGCGTTCAGCATAGCCTCATAAATATAGAATACTTCATAACTGCTTTTGTTTGAAATTATTTAAGTAAGATTTCCAAATATAAGTTATCACTATGGAGTTGGTTGAGCTAAGGTTAGGTTAGCTTCAAAAAGAAGAAGTTATCTCCAGAGAATCAGAGAAGTTTTCATCAACGGAACCTATCATCTAGAGGAGAGTGAGTGAGTGAGTGAGTGAGTGAGTGAGTGAGTGAGTGAGTGAGTGAGTGAGTGAGTGAGTGAGTGAGTGAGTGAGTGAGTGGTGGAGAGTGAGTGAGTGAGTGGAGTGTGAGTGAGTGGTGAGTGAGTGAGTGAGTGAGTGAGTGAGTGAGTGAGTGAGTGAGGAGTGTGAGTGAGTGAGTGAGTGAGTGAGTGAGTGAGTGAGTGAGTGAGTGAGTGAGTGAGTGAGTGAGTGAGTGAGTGAGTGAGTGAGTTGGATTTAATGCCATATCATGACATGTTAGCACTGAGAGTAAGAAGGTGCCAAGAGATGCTGATTGCAGGCATTTACCACTCTGATTACAGGCATTTACCACTCTGATTACAGGCATTTACCACTCTGATTACAGGCATTTACCACTCTGATTACAGGCATTTACCACTCTGATTACAGGCATTTACCACTCTGATTAAACCATGAGTATGAGTTTGGTTGTGACACACCAAGAATTGAAGCGAAACAGGATTTGAACCCATGGAAATAGGTTACTGGGGACACAAGAGACACAATTCAGAGAACTGCATGACCCTAGATGACAAGGCCCAACAGGCTGCATCAATCAATTGCTTTAATGAGTGACAGCCTCCTAGTCTTGTGCCTTGGTTTAAACTAGGTTTAATACTTATATTTAGAGCCATGTATTGTGCTAAGACAAGCCTTTTCGTAATCAAGGTAACAACTAACTGCTGGAATAAGCCACATCGTGAAGGCTGAGTTTGTAGACTAACAAAGTTGTTTTATTAAACATGTTAAATATGTGATTCAAATTGTTTCAACAGTCAGATTACTTGATCCTTTAATAAAAATGATTTAATCTTCAATCATGATCCTCATTGGTCAGGGACAGCAAATTCCATTTATTTAGAAACTGATTTTGAGGTGTTTTAGGAGGAGTCTTCACTACTCATCACTGCCATGCTGTCCCCTTTGTTCAGCTCATTGTGTCTACACATACATTAATTTAAGATTATCCCTAGCCAAAGGTGAGTGTAATATTGCCGAGTGTCGGTAAAATTAACTCACTCGCTCACTCTTACAACAGGTAGGGGTAGCTGAAGACCAATTCTAACCTAGTGAGTGAGTGAGTTTAGTTTTACGCTGCACTCAGCAATATTCCAGCTATATGGCAGCGGTCTGTAAATAATCGAGTCTGGACCAGACAATCCAGTGATCAACAGCATGAGCATCGATCTGTGCAATTGGGAACCGATGACATGTGTCAACCAAGTCAGCGAGCCTGACCACCCTCGCCTCTTACGACAAGCATGGGTTACTGAAGGGTCATTCTAACCTAGTTCTTCATGAGTTAAATACAAATGAGAAAGATTATTCAGAAAATCATTTCTTTCTAAATTCAAGGTTTTGACAAACAAACAGTTAAAATTATGTATACTTTACAAAGCATGATATATTTTCAACATCATAAAGTGAAGTGTATATTGGAGGGTTTACCCAGAAATTCATGTGTCTGCTAGTATTATATAACTGGATTAATCTATCAGATAGTGGGAATTTGGGAATTTCACTGACGTCACACTAATCACAGATGGGTGAGTTAGTTTTGTTTTAGTCCACTTTTAGCAGTATTCCAGTAATATCACAGTGGGGGACACCAGAAATGGGCTTCACACATTCATGACATTGTACCCCAAGGGAATCCAACCCTCGGCCTTCATAGTGATGAACATGGTGTATGTATTTTAGGGACCAGTCATAGTTTATGGCTTGTGGGATTTTGATGATGATTTTAAAGGGGGTAGGGTGGGGGGTGTTTCCACCCATTTTGTTCTGGGAAGGTAGGGGGGGCATCAATTTTGTACATGACATGTTGGGGAGGGGGTGTCACTTTACTTTGTAGGCAAATTTTCGGGCTGTCTTTTATATTGTACATGCTTCTACATAAAAATCATAATCACCCCTCCTTGCCATAAACTATGAACGGACCTTCAGTAAGGAACACCATGACCACTGCTTTTACCTGGGTGTTGTAATAACATTTCATAAATATAAACAATACCTTTTCAATTCAAGAGAAAATCCGAATCTGATTAGAAGAACGTCCACAACTGTTGCAGAAGAAATCCTCGCACACAAACAGTCATTAAATCATTGAAGAACACATCTCCCAAATTTCACAACGAAGTGCCGCAGAGCGTCATATCCCGTTTCCGATACGTCGCCAATGTACTTCAATCATCACCATAAGCCGACAGTTCCCGTTTCCTGCAGTAATCACGCAGGAGAGTCATGTGCCCACCATCTTCCGCGTTACAACGTCGATGTCCATGGTGTTGGAGATATATTGCACGCGCGGAACGTGCGTACTGAAACTCCCGACAGTGCAGTAACTACACCTTACTTGTAAATATGCTACTGAGGAACGGTATCATCGATGTAAGGAGTTTTTGATAGGGGAATTTTTTATATATTTTTTACGCAATTTGTTGTTGGTGGTGTTTTAACATTTTAAAATCATATTTTATTTACGTATAGTTCGCTCCTTGTATGTTGGGTGGGTGGGTGTGGACATGGACGTGTAGGAACATGTGTGCGTCGTGCTTGTGTGTGTGTGTGCGCACAGATGCACAGCAAAGTCGAACATTATCTTTAACACTTTGGATGATTCACCTACTTTGACATTGCCCATCTTATTTGGTATCTTTGATCTGTACACTTCCGGGCGGACATGCTTTGCGGATCTCGCATGAATCATATCTATTATACTATCTCGAGGGGACACAGCATCTGTCTGGGAAGCAGAAAATCGGTGAATTGATCCCCGGCCTCGTCAAAACAAATTACGTTAAAATATCTACTTGTTTTCACCCGTTTTATTGTGATTAAACAAAACGTTGATGCAGTTAAATCTCGTTAGTTTTATTAAGTATTATCAAATATATACTCAGTGGCCTGAAAAAGAGGTTTATACACACGTAACCAGTGCTAGGTTATGTCCCTTGGGCGTGCCAGGATCCTATTTCCATGGGTTCTGTAGGTTTCTGTGGGTCAACTCGTGTGTTTTACCAATGCGATGAACGTTTAGAACCTGCTGCATCAGGATATGAGGGCTTGTACAATATGACCGCTTCCGGTAGAAGGGGAGCCCGGCATTTCAAAAGAACACGATATGAGAACGGCCCTTTTCCGTCCATGTGATTTGTACAATTTATGAAATTAGCAAAACTTCACAAGTTGTCATTAACCTTACCAGAGAATGTACGTTTGTTTAACACCGCCCTCAGCAATATTCCAGCTATATGACAGCGGACTGGACCAGACAACATGATAAATACAATGAACAGTTGGGATAGGATGACATGTGTCAACAAAGTCAGCGAGCCTGATCATGATCACCCGATCCCGTTAGTCGCCTCTTACGACAAGCTGGGTGGCTGAAGACAAACTCAAACAGGGATCTTCACGGGTGATCAGAGACGTTCAAACGTGAAAACGCTGGAAGTTTTACAACAAAAAGGAATGGAACTCTGGTGCTAGATATGCTGTGAGATCCTTCACTTGGTTGTCCGAACTTAAACTGGTTACACCTTTGGTCGGTTCATGAAAGTGCGCAACCACATCGGCCCAGAAATGCTTCATTCGACAAGCATAGGTTGCTCAAGACCAATTCTAGCTAAGATCTTCGCGGATACATGCGTTGTCATTTTGTTCCCAGTAAGTGTGCATGTTCCTGTGAAATGTGTCGTTCAATGTCGTCAAGTATTTTTAAAACGTCATGATTATCAACATTTATACAAGACATAACATTTTGTTACTCACGGTAAGACCTTGAAAGAAACTTTACGCACGCTTCAGTGACGACTGAAGCAACACAAACAGGAATACGTATCTGGAGGTATCATCGGTTGTCATTTTATATTTCGTCAATAATGAAGTTTACTGATGTACAGTGTACCATAGCCGTATAGCCCAAAGATCACTGTAACAGTGTCAATGTATTATGTATACATGCCATTTAATATTATTTATCACCCAAAACTGTGTTTCACAGGGGATATTGCTTGTGTGAGATCAGATGATATCTCCTAGGAGATATCATTTTGACAGTAGATTTTGCACAATATCCTGACAATGCTATGACGTCATGAACTTGATGACGTCACAATGTCATGACATCACTGTACTGCAAGTCTAATAGCAGTACTGTGTTCAGAGATGTACAGTTTTCATTAAAAACTAATGAAGAGTGTTTTTTTTGAATGATAAATAGAATCTCACCCTCGTGTCTTCTGATATCAAATCTATCAACACTCGTTGTTAAAAGTAAAATATGCCCTCGGCAAGTCTCGGATATTTGTTACTTTATCAACTCATGGTGACATTTTTGTTGTCAAAAGACACTCGGGTGGGATTCTCTATTTGCATTTATATGTATACTATTCTAACTTGACATCGACCAAGAGCGTTTGTGTCCCGTGTTTTCGCCATCATTCTGAAACCACAGAAGATCGATGAAACGACTGGGCTCTGCCCAGAATCATAACGTGAAATATTTAGAGGATACTAAACGGCCTTCCGTGTAATACTAATTTTACTAAACGAGTTAATGATTTGATACTAAATCTTTCACGAGTTTAATACAAATGATATTTCACGGAAGCGAGTTTAGGATTCTGTTTATTACCCTCCAACATAAACTGATAGAAACTGCCTACAGTGTGATGACCCTCATCAAGTTTCCGCGAGTCAAGCAAGGTCTAATACCACTGCGACAGAGGCGTTATCATTGTGACGTCATAAATGTGACGTTATATGTCTAGCGGTATTACACTCGTGTAATATTGCCGTAAACATATTACACTGCAGTATCTTCCAAGGGCGAGTAATAAAGTGTATATATTTACTAGTCAACTATTGAAATAATTTGCTTATCAGGGTGTTTTTTTATCTCAAGACCCGTGAAGATCCGTGTTAGAATATTGATCTTCAGTAACCCATACTTGTCGTAAGAGGCGACTAATAACGGGATCGGGTGGTCAGGCTCACTGACTTGGTTGACACATGTCATCGGTTCCCAATTTCGCAGATCGATACTCATGCTGTTGATTACTGGATTGTCTGGTCCAGACTCGATTATTTTCAGACCGCCGCCATATAGCTGGAATGTTGCTGAGTGCGGCGTAAAACTAAACTCACTCACTCTTTTTATCTCAAACTAATGAACAACTTATCTATTAGGAATCCTTACTACTAGGCTGGAATTGATAACAAATGATACATCGCGGTACCATGGCAACACGTCGAACACGTTGAAATGAGAGTAAGCTCATAAGGTGTTCAGTATATATAAGACTTTGCAACAAAAATGCATTCTTTTGATAAATTCATATTTCCTTAGATGTGTCATTTCAAAGGCAAATAACTGATAGGGTCTTTTTCCGGCACATAACTCTTAAACGGTTGATCATCTTTTAATGATACTTTTTTATCAAAGCCAGGCAGGTGCGGAATTGGTGCCTTTTGCTCTTCAGGAATTTATAATGTTCCGTTTTTGTGCGTCCCTGAAAGAAAGTTCAGCTGAAGGTATGGTTTGTGTTCATCTTTCGGTGCAGCTGTTTAAGAAATGGGTCCGTGAAGGTCTGGGTTAGAATTGTCTTCAGTAACCCATGCTTGTTGTAAGAGACGACTAACGGGATCGGGTGGTCAGGCTCGCTGACAAGGTTGACACATGTCATCGGCTCCCAATTGTGCAGATCGATGCTCATGCTGTTCATCACTGGATTGTCTGGTCCAGACTCGATTATTTACAGACTGCCGCCATATAGCTGGAATGTTGCTGAGTGCGGCGTAAAACTAAACTCACTCAATTGTGCAGATCGATGCTCATGCTGTTCATCACTGGATTGTCTGGTCCAGACTCGATTATTTACAGACTGCCGCCATATAGCTGGAATGTTGCTGAGTGCGGCGTAAAACTAAACTCACTCAATCACTTTACGAAATGGACGCTCCTATATTTCATATCTTCGTATTGTGAGAACTTGGCTTAGGTTCAAATTTTGTGTTTTGTGCGTATACATCAAATATTTGTGGGTTGTGCAAATACATGCACCTTCTGTGCCATGTGTGAATACATTAAACGTTTGTGCCATGTACGTGTACATCCAACATTTGTGCCTTGTGGGAATACATCATTTGGTCATTTAAACCAATTCAGTTCGACTTTTTTTCACCAGTTTGTCAAAGAACCGTGTCATAAAGCTGATACCCTGTGAGGTACGTAAGGCAGTGATTAATCAGGAAGGATGGAATGGTACATCAAGGGAGGGGTATTTAGATATACAGGGGGTCAGGGAGGGGTGGTGACACCAATAGATGGGGCCTGTGGATTCTGTTATGCTTGACATGTTTATCTATTTGTGCTGTATAGTTGCTTATAAATTTTGTATGGGAAAAAAAGTTATACAAATTTGATGTCAACAATGATGTCTGTATGACGTCAACAATCGTAAGATGAACGAAATCACACATTTCTATTAACTCGTGTGGAACATTATAATAAAACTATATGGTTATAAACGTATTTATTTCATTAGTATTTATCTAAAGCTTTGTTTGTTTTAAAATTATATTACAACGAAGAAGCACTATGTTCAATTTCCATGTTTTGGAGTGGAAAACATTTTGGAATATAGTTTTTCTGAGTGGAGATTGTATAAAGGGACGTAACTCTCATTGCTTTGTAACGCGGAAGTGAAGAGATTGTTCAACAGAAATTTGCGGAGGGCGGTATATTTGTCACATGGTAAAACAGTGTTACATAGTCGTGTCACCTTAAAGCTGTCCCTTGTCTTGTATCACGATGGCCAATAGTGATTTCTGTTACGAAGGAAACTGATAGTTTCTACTTTTCTTCGTAGATTATTTTCACCTGTTCATTGCACCATCTTCTTTCGATGTTTTTCACTTCTGACTATATTTGAAAGACAAGTTAATGGAATCTGTTTATGAAATCATTCTACTTACGTCATCTATGCGTGATGTTGTAATTCCTGTTTGAATGACAAATTTATGTAATGCGTGAAAACTAACGTCTGTGATATGCAGAGGTGATAATAAGTTTTTCTCTACTCACCCACATCAAATAAAAAAGAATTTATGCAGTCACCAACCTGTGAACCACACCATACACTACAGTACGGGCGGTGGGGCAGCCTAGTGGTTAAGGATTCACTCGTCACACCGAAGACCTGGGTTCGATTCCCCACATGGGTTACAGTGTGTGAGACCCATTTCTGGTGTTCCCCACGGTGATATTGCTAAAAGCGAGCTGCGACATAAACTTAAATTCACTCCCTATATTTCAATAGTGACTTCCCCAAGTTTTGCGAAATCATGCCACCACTAATGTGACTGTTAGTGCTATTATCAAATCACTTTTGACATTTGCGTCATAATCTTTTGCAAGGTCCCTCCACTTTCAAACCTACATCCCATCACTTTCTAGCCAATATCCCATCACTTTACAGCCAATATAGTGTCAGCATCTAAGCAACATCGCAGCACTTTCTAACCAACATTCTGTTACTCCAGCTACTATTGCACTGTTTCCAAGATACCATCATGGCCCACTTTAGTGCCACAATAACCCTACAGCATTATTATTATTTTTATTACAGTATGTTGAGAGTTCTTAGTTGTCATTTATTATTTTTAGTTACTGAATTTGATTTACTTCTACATGTTTTCATTGATTAAAAAGTCGCAAATCTTTTCAGCAACAGAGTTATAACAGACCTCATGTAAGAAATGGTTATTATGTTCCAGTTTGCTGCAGACTGTTACCATGGGGACGTAGACTAGGGACTGCCAATCAGTGACAATGGTGAACACACCCATACCACACAGCCTCAAGTCAGAGGCCAAGAAGGCGGCCAAAATCCTGCGAGAGTTCACCATGCCAAGCGCTAGAGCTGGTCCAGACAAACTTATACCTGGTATGTGGAGTCAGTATCAATACTGGGTACAAGTATTCAAGTATTGAATGAAGCAAATGATAGGTATTCTGCTACGACAGTCACTGTGTTGTGTTGCTTTCAGTTCCTTCCTTTCTGGTGGGGAAATTGTTCTTTCAATGCTGTCATTTCCAAATTTTAATCGCTTAAATTTTCCACATATTTCACACACTATTTTGACACATTTCAACAAGAGTATGACAACTGCATTGTACCAAAGGACTTAAGAATGATGAAGTGATGAAGCTTGTTTCACCGAAGTGGTCAACATCTGAGACTGTCATCACTTGGGTCTTTAACGTCAAGCTGACATGCCTCACTCACTCACTCATGAACGACTGAACGAACGAATCCAATTTTCAATATGGCTGCCAAAGCATCAGATCATAAGTATTACTCTATGGTTACTTTCTCGCCAACTGTTCTTATGAATACTTTCACATTGTGATGTTGTAGCTGGTATTCTAGCCAAGGCAAAGGGTCTTGCCATATTGACCGTGGTGAAGGCGGGGTTCCTGGTTACGGCGCGAGGTGGCAGTGGGATCGTCATTGCCAAGCTTGATGATGCTGATGAGGACTCTCGCACCTGTGGTAGGTTGAGGTACAATGTCAGTACACCTAGTGGTAGGTTGAGGTACAATGTCAGTACACCTGTGGTAGGTTGAGAGACAATGTCAGTACACCTGTGGTAGGTTGAGGTACAATGTCAGCACACCTGTGGTAGGTTGAGTGTACAAGACAATGTCAGTACACCTGTGTTATGTTGAGGAACAGTACACCTGTGGTAGGTTGTGTCAGTACACCTGTGGTAGTCAAGGCTGACACCTTGAGGTACAATGTCAGTACACCTGTGGTAGGTTGAGGTACAATGTCAGTACACCTGTGGTAGGTTGAGGTACAATGTCAGCACACCTGTGGTAGGTTGAGGTACAATGTCAGCACACCTGTGGTAGGTTGAGGTACAATGTCAGTACACCTGTGGTAGGTTGAGGTACAATGTCAGTACACCTGTGTTATGTTGGAGACAATGTCAGTACACCTGTGTGGTAGGTTGAGGTACAATGTCAGCACACCTGTGGTAGGTTGAGGTACAATGTCAGCACACCTGTGGTAGGTTGAGGTACAATGTCAGCACACCCTGTGGTAGGTTGAGGTACAATGTCAGTACACCTGTGGTAGGTTGAGGTACAATGTCAGTACACCTGTGGTTAGGTTGAGGACAATGTCAGTACACCTGTGATAGGTTGAGGTACAATGTCAGTACACCTGTGGTAGGTTGTCAGCACACCTGTAGGTTGAGGTACAATGTCAGCACACCTGTGGTAGGTTGAGGTACAATTGAGAGTTACAATGTCAGTACACCTGTGGTAGGTTGAGGCACAATGTCAGTACACCTGTGGTAGGTTGAGGTACAATGTCAGTACACCTGTGGTAGGTTGAGGCACAATGTCAGTACACCTGTGGTAGGTTGAGGCACAATGTCAGTACACCTGTGGTAGGTTGAGGTACAATGTCAGCACACCTGTGGTAGGTTGAGGTTGTCAGTACACCTGTGTTATGTTGGAGACAATGTCAGTACACCTGTGTTACAATGTCAGTACACCTGTGGTAGGTTGAGGTACAATGTCAGCACACCTGTGGTAGGTTGAGACAATGTCAGTACACCTGTGGTTAGGTTGAGGTACAATGTCAGCACACCTGTGTTAGGTTGAGACAATGTCAGTACACCTGTGGTAGGTTGAGGTACAATGTCAGTACACCTGTGGTAGGTTGAGGTACAATGTCAGTACACCTGTGGTAGGTTGAGGTACAATGTCAGTACACCTGTGAGTAGGTTGAGGTACAATGTCAGTACACACCTGTGGTGTCAGGTTGAGGTACAATGTCAGCACACCTGTGGTAGGTTGAGGTACAATGTCAGCACACCTGTGGTAGGTTGAGGTACAATGTCAGTACACCTGTGTTAGGTTGGAGACAATGTCAGTACACCTGTGGTAGGTTGAGGTACAATGTCAGTACACCTGTGTTAGGTTGGAGACAATGTCAGTACACCTGTGGTAGGTTGAGGTACAATGTCAGTACACCTGTGTTATGTTGGAGACAATGTCAGTACACCTGTGGTAGGTTGAGGTACAATGTCAGGTAAGTTGAGGAGACAATGTCAGTACACCTGTGGTAGGTTGAGGTACAATGTCAGTACACCTGTGTTATGTTGGAGACAATGTCAGTACACCTGTGGTAGGTTGAGGTACAATGTCAGCACACCTGTGGTAGGTTGAGGTACAATGTCAGCACACCTGTGGTAGGTTGAGGTACAATGTCAGCACACCCGTGTTAGGTTGAGGTACAATGTCAGTACACCTGTGGTAGGTTGAGGTACAATGTCAGTACACCTGTGTTAGGTTGGAGACAATGTCAGTACACCTGTGGTAGGTTGAGGTACAATGTCAGTACACCTGTGGTAGGTTGAGGTACAATGTCAGTACACCTGTGTTATGTTGGAGACAATGTCAGTACACCTGTGGTAGGTTGAGGTACAATGTCAGCACACCTGTGGTAGGTTGAGGTACAATGTCAGCACACCTGTGGTAGGTTGAGGTACAATGTCAGCACACCCGTGTTAGGTTGAGGTACAATGTCAGTACACCTGTGTTATGTTGGAGACAATGTCAGTACACCTGTGGTAGGTTGAGGTACAATGTCAGTACACCTGTGGTAGGTTGAGGTACAATGTCAGTACACCTGTGGTAGGTTGAGATACAATGTCAGTACACGTGTGGTAGGCTAAGAATACAACAAGACCTGAATTTCATTTGTTCTCTTTTATTACCTTTGAGACACTTTCAGTAGGCACATCTGTAAAAACGTGAAAAATGGCCTGGTCTGGCTCCACCCTAGAAATGATTGTGGTTGATATCTTTTATTTTCTCATTCTTTCTTTTAGCAATTACATTTATATTTTTCTTGAATTCAGTCAAAGGTTGCAGCTACTGTGCAGAAAAGTAATGATCATTAAAAGTTGGGAATGTATGACACAAGGATTTGAGAGCATTCATCCAAACTAACCTCATATACACACAGACCCTCTCCCTCTCATGTGTATGTGTACATAAAAGTGAAGTTGTAATTGACATGTGGTATACGTAGATAACACTGAGGGGACAGAAGATGATAACTAGTTATCAACATGTGGAGGGAGTGTTTAAACTTCAGTATTGAACAGTAAATGTTATAACATCCATTAAGTTAAAAGACAGCATGCTAACTCTTGCAGAAATGCTGATAGCAGTGACCTTTTCAGTGCTTTCATGTTTTGTTTTCCAGGTTGGTCTGCTCCCAGTGCAATAGGAATAGCTGGTCTGGGGGGAGGATTTGAGATCGGAGCTGAGGTAGGTGGAGCAATACTGCCAGTTATATCACTTCGATGAATAGGATCACGGAGCACAATGCTGTTTACTTAGAACCTAGACATAGTGGGGGTGTATATCTCATGGTGTGGAGTCTTACCTTATATAGAGGGTTGATCTCTTTGGTCATGTGGATAAGGCATCAGATGGATCTGAATGTCTGTGGTTGAAATTCCATCATGAGACTTTGTATCTGCTCTATGTACACAAGGGTGGTGGGGTAGCCTAGTGGTTAAAGCGTTGTCTCGTCACGCCGAAGACCCGGGTTTGAATCCCCAATGTGTGAAGCCCATTTCTGGTGTCCCCCGCCATGATATTGCTGGAATATTGCTAAAAAGCGGCGTAAAACCATACTCACTCACTCACTCTATGTACACAACAATGTTATGGATATTTGTCCATATATATATCTGTTTATTTATAGAAACTAACATTCATCCAACAGGTGACAGACTTTGTCATTATTCTGAACAAGAGGTCTGCCGTGGAAGCCTTCTCCAAGGGAGGTAACCTGACTTTGGGTGGCAACTTCACGATCGCAGCGGGGCCCCTAGGGCGTAACATCGAGGGTGATGTCTCACTGAGGAGTCCGGCAGCGATGTACACCTACTCCAAGACCAAGGGAATATTTGCTGGCATATCTATAGAAGGCAGCGGACTCATTGAACGCAAGGATGCCAACAGAAAGTGAGCATCTAGTTCCCATGGTATTGTCCATTGCTGTTGTCTCGACCAATATGTTGTTCACATCTGGGTCTGGATAAATGCTTGAATTCATGTCATCAGTACCTCATGTTTGTCTGTCGTTTGAGGTTCTGGTCTGGTCGTGTTTGTCTCCCTGCAAGGATTCTGTAACAAAACAGGTCCTCCCTTCCCCATGTTTGTCTCCGTGCATGGATTCGGAAACAAAACAGGTCCTCCCTTCCCCGTGTTTGTCTCCCTGCAAGGGTTCTGTAAAAAAACAGGTCCTCCCATCCCCGGGTCTGGATAAATGCTTGAATTCATGTCATCAGTACCTCATGTTTGTCTGTCGTTTGAGGTTCTGGTCTGGTCGTGTTTGTCTCCCTGCAAGGATTCTGTAAAAAAACAGGTCCTCCCATCACCGTGTTTGTCTCCCTGCAAGGATTCTGTAACAAAACAGGTCCTCCCTTCCCCGTGTTTGTCTCCCTGCAAGGGTTCTGTAAAAAAACAGGTCCTCCCATCACCGTGTTTGTCTCCCTGCAAGGATTCTGTAACAAAACAGGTCCTCCCTTCCCCCAGTTTGTCTCCCTGCAAGGATTCTGTAACAAAACAGGTCCTCCCTTCCCCATGTTTGTCTCCCTACAAAGATTCTGTAACAAAACAGGTCCTCCCTTCCCCATGTTTGTCTCCCTGCAATGATTCTGTAAAAAAACAGGTCCTCCCTTCCCCGTGTTTGTCTCCCTGCAAGGATTCTGTAACAAAACAGGTCCCCCCTTCCCCGTGTTTGTCTCCCCTGCAATGATTCTGTAACAAAACAGGTCCTCCCTTCCCGTGTTTGTCTCCCCTGCAATGATTCTGTAAAAAAACAGGTCCTCCCTTCCCCGTGTTTGTCTCCCTGCAAGGATTCTGTAACAAAACAGGTCCCCCCTTCCCCGTGTTTGTCTCTCTGCAATGATTCTGTAACAAAATAGGTCCTCCCTTCCCCGTGTTTGTCTCCCTGCAAGGATTCTGTAACAAAACAGGTCCTCCCTTCCCCATGTTTGTCTCCCTGCAAGGATTCTGTAACAAAACAGGTCCTCCCTTCCCCGTGTTTGTCTCCCTGAAAGGATTCTGTAACAAAACAGGTCCTCCCTTCCCCATGTTTGTCTCCCTGCTAGGATTCTGTAACAAAACAGGTCCCCCCTTCCCCGTGTTTGTCTCTCTGTAATGATTCTGTAACAAAACAGGTCCCCTTCCCGTTCCCGTGTTTGTCTCCCTGCAAGGATTCTGTAACAAAACAGGTCTTCCCTTCCCCAGTTTGTCTCCCTGCATGGATTCTGTAACAAAACAGGTCCTCCCTTCCCCGTGTTTGTCTCTCTGCAATGATTCTGTAACAAAACAGGTCCTCCCTTCCCCATGTTTGTCTCTCTGCATGGATTCTGTAACAAAACAGGTCCTCCCTTCCCCATGTTTGTCTCCCTGCAAGGATTCAGTGACAAAACAGGTTCTCCAAAACCCAAGCTTCTTTCCCTTATTGTAAACCAAAAGTCACTGTGTTCTTTAATCTGATTGGTTGAAAAACGTGATCAAATGTATTCGATTCCGGAAATTCGCTACATATTAATACATACAAATATTGCTCACACCATTGTATTGTTACGTCATCAGCTGCGATGACGTCATTAAAATCATATTGTGACGTAAATTCCGAATGACGTCACAAATGAGCAGTTCTAGATGCTACCATGGGAGACAGCCGAAACGGCCGGCTGATGACATTTCACTGCTGTACCTGTACTCAATGTCAAAGAGTGCAGACACAAAAACGTGTGTGGACCTTTTGGTTTACTTTAGTGTTTACAATGTCGATAAACATCACGTGTTGGCCAATTTCCGTGTGTTATTGAGTATTTGAAGCACGGGAATATTTCATTTGAAACCTCCGGCTGACGCCGTTGGTTCCGAACGAATTCCCGTGCTTCAAATACTCAATAACACCCGGAAATTGACCAACACTTGATGTTTATCTCCTAATGGGATTCAGGGGCGGTGGGGTAGTCTAGTGGTTAAAGCGTTGGCTCGTCACGCCAAAGACCCAGGTTCGAATCCCCACATGGGTACAATGAGTGAAGCGCATTTCTGGTGTCACCCACCGTGATATTGCTGGAATATTTCTAAAAGCGGCGTAAAACCAAACTCAGTCAGTCAGTCAGCCTAATGGGATTCCAGTGGAGAACAAGTCCCAGTACCTTTTTTATGTTTGTCTCCCGTCGTCTAATGTCCATACATAGTTATGTGTATAAGCCAGAAACTTTCATTCACTGTATTTGACAAATCCTGCTGTTATGATATAGATGTATGCTCTAAAAGAAGTCTTATTTCAAGTAATTTTGAAAAATCTTTTATCCCAATCTATTCTGTACAAAGGTTTTATGGGCAAGACATCCGGGCCCACCAGATATTGGTGGGAGAAGTGGATCCCCCGGAAGGGTGTGATGACCTGTACGAGGTTATCCGCCGACACCGAGAGGTCGCCATGAAGGCGGCGATGCAGATGGCCAAGGAACAAGCATGGAAACACAGGCACGCAATCAAAGACGTGGTCGTAGCGGGTGTCTCAAGCAAGCTTAGTGTGAGTGTTGTGTTTTCATACTTACTTTGAATGTGGGGTGGTGGGGTGGCCGAGTGGTTAAAGCGTTTGCTCATCACACCAAAGGCCCGGTGTAGCAGCCCAGAATAACCCCCAACCAGATTATACCCCGGGGTAAACTATAATTAAGCTAGCCCAGTTTATATTATATATTCTGGACCAGGCCAAAGTATACCCCTCCAACCCAGACTATACCCCTAAAAAATTATGTTGACAATTCACTCAATATGAGTGTGTGACTCAGGGCAATGGTCTTGGTGTCATTTAAAGGAATTTGTAGGTGCATTTCATTTACATTACTGCATAATACAAAATTTATGAAGTATTTGTTGAGTGCCTCTCTGCGATGTGATTTTTTTCGACTTTGCGTAACCCAGCCATGCTGATATATTATCATGGTTAGTAGATAGTTATTTGCTTTATTTAGCGTCGCACGCACAACTAAGGTATTCCAAATGGTCGGAGGCAGCTGCTATCCCGGATAAAAGCACGAAGTCGGGTTGCTCTGTTTTTCTTTTCTTTTCGATTCCCCACATGGGTACAATGTGTGAAGCCCATTTCTGGTGTCCCCGCTGTGATATTGCTGGAATATTGCTAAAAGCAGCGTATATCTAAACTCACTCACTTACTACTTTGAATGTACTGTGATAAGTAACATCTAGGCTTGTTTTCGATACAATTCATATTTGTATAGAATGTTGAACATATCCGGCACAATTATCTGTAAGTATTCCAGAGTAGAAGAGGCTAACAGTATTCAAAATGGCTCTCTTTACATTTTATAAATGGCCAATTGTCTTCATACTTTGACAGAAAAGATTATTGTAGTCTGTCTCATGGTGCCTGAACCACATTATTTTCACTCAGCCCACCCCTTTCGACAATGCTGAAGCTCGAACTGAATCAAGTCTAGATTTCCTCATGTTCAGGATCTCCTTTTCAATTTAATAGGAATTATTATTTTTATCCAAATTATATATATTTAGCATTAGTCTAGGATTATAATTCCACTACCAACCAGTTTGCTTGGGCCAGATTTGATTTATGGGCAGTCACGATGACTGTAGTATTATTCCTAAGTATCCCATGGGAAAATTCAACATTATTTCTCAGGGGACAAGTTGATATTGGGGCTTCTATAATATCCAATTATATACTAAATACAAGGGTTGTGTGTTAACAAGTGCTGTAATGATGCACCAAACTATCGATTGATTACAATTGTTGAAACTCTGATAGCAATTAATCAATGGTAGAAACAAAAAACTATCGATGCATCAGTAGCGTGTGTGACTGTCGATAGTTTAGTAACTGACCTCTGTTGATAAATGCGCAACTCAAAATACGGGGCCTAGATTTTCCAAACTCTCTTAACGCTAAGATAGTCGTAAGTGCCATACATTAACATTAACTTACGACTCTCTTAGCTCTAAGAGAACTTCGAAAATCTAGGCCCAGGACGTACCAGATTAATTCACTTTGATTTAGAGTTATCCACCCCTGTTACCTCTTAAACAAACATGGCAGTTTGAAATTGTGAAGTATGTTTTAACTGTTTACTTCTGGGTTTCAAGTTTCTTGTCAGTTATTAAAAGGGACTGAAACTACTCCAACTCGTTTTTATTTCATATATACTTTACATTCATTTAGGAAATGTCTTCAAATGAGACAATTCAAGGAGAAAAATAGTTGGTCGCAATAGCCCAGATAGCAATGATATGTTGGCCCATAGTTGGCCCATAATCACCGGTTTGGTTGGCCCATGGTTGTCAAACTGATGATGGGCCCACTTGGATATTCTCATCGGCTCCACAGTGGCCCATCATGTTGGCTCATTGTTGGGCCAACGTGTTAAAAACCACTGTTACTTTTAAGTCATTAAGATGACGTTGGGCCAATGTTGTCAAACTGTTGGCCAACCAACCAACCATATACCAACATTGGCCCAACACACCTTTGCTATCTGGGAGTGTGTTACGATAGACTATCGCCATCGCAATAGTTGTTTCCCCCTCAATACTCACCCCGAGTGTTTACATTGCATGACCTGGCTCATTATCTTCGTACTTTGACAGCATGGATTATTGCTCATCCTCTGGAGCCATGTTATATAACTGTATTATCATCTCTCAGTATACCACAGGCTTATTTCACATGGGACATGTTGATGTTAAAGCTTCTGTAATCCCCCTTATACTAATCACTCACGCCAAATCTAGGATTCTGAAACTTAACATTTGGGATTAGGATTGGGAAAAGAGGGGAGGTGTACACAATACTTCCGTCAGGAGGGCTCAGCTGTTGTGGAAGGTTCACTATGCCTCTGTATCAGCCATGTAATTCTGGTCCTGTTTTGACCTTTGACCTCCATGTCACCCCATGTTCCCGAAGTTCACTGTATTTGTGTCCTCTCTGAAACCTATGGATTTATGTAATCGAAATTTGTGAACATGATCCCAGTGATTGTGTCCCTGAGAAAGATCTTTTAGCATTGGTTATTCAATACAATGTCATTTTTTCCATTACTGAGCCATCACTGCTTTTATTATGAAATACTCTTGCTTTCTATCATCTAAAAGCTTCCATTACCTTTGTATTAATCATGCATCTTGGTGGCGGTGGGGTAGCCTAGTGGCTAAAGTATCCACTCTTCTCGTCGAAGACCCAGGTTCGATTCCCCACATGTGTACAATATGTGAAGCCAATTTCTGGTGTCCCCCGCAGTGATATTGCTGGAATATTGCTAAAAGTGGCATGAAACTAAACTCACTCACTCATGGATCTTGAAATATAAGTTACAAGAACGGGTGAACTACAGATCCTTCTGGATTTATATTTTCTGCTCATTGTACATTTATGCAATGTTTATATTTCTTTGTTGTTTCCCATAATAAGAGTGAGTGAGTGAGTTTAGGTTTCACGCTGCTTTTAGCAATATTCCAGCAACATCACCGCGGGGGACACCAGACATGGGCTTCACATATTGTACACATGTTGGGAATCGAACCTGGGTCTTCGGCGACCACCGTCACATAGCTGTACTCTCTCTCTCACTCTCTCTCCCTCACTCTCTGTCTCTCTCCCTCTCTCTCTCTCTCTGTCTCTCTTTCTCTCACTCTCTCTCCCTCCCTCTCTGTCTCTCTCGCAACATCACGGCGGGGGACACCAGACATGGGCTTCACACATCGTACCCATGGGGGGAATCGAACCTGGGTCTCCAGCGTGATGAACAGACGCTTAACCATTAGGCTACCCCACCGCCCCCCATAATAAGAGTAAACATAGAGTAACTATGTTGATAGCTGTGTGATCTATATATGGTTAATTGACCGCCTCCGTGGTATAGTGGTTAGAGCGTCCGCCCGGAGAGTGGAAGGTCGCGGGTTCGATCCCCGACCGCGTCATACCAAAAGACGTTAAAATATGGTACTTGTTGGTCCCTGCCTGGCACTCGGCATTAATGGGCACAACAAGGATTGGTCGGCTCGGAGTCAGTATAATGTGTCTGAGTGGGGTATTCATGCTTCACTGCGGCATGGTATCTCAGTGGGCTAGCACTATAAAACCAGCTTAAGTCTGGGCTAGTACAAGCAGCCGCACATACACATACACACGCACGCACGTCGTCATATGAGCGAATATTCTCAAGTACGACGTTAAACCCAATTTCACCTCACCTCTCCTATATATGGTTAATGTTTGTTCGTTGTTTGATACTGATTCCAGCTATGTGACGGTGGTCTGAAGATAATAATGTCTAGACCAGACAATCCAGTATCAAGACATGCATCAACCAAGCCAGCGAGTCTGATCACATCATCTTGTTCGTCATGCGTTGCTGATGACCAATTCTCACCCGAATATTTAAAGGGTTTATAGTTCATGCATCACAAACAGTGGCCATTTTAAACTGTTGCAGCATAACACTCACTCACTCTGAAACTTGTGGCATCCATTTCTCTCACACACATTCACTCTTGTTGCGGCATCTCTCTCTCTCTCTCTCTCTCTCTCTCTCTCTCTCTCTCTCTCTCTCTCTCTCTCACTCTCTCTCTCTCTCTCTCTCTCTCACTCACTCACTCTCTCTCTCTCTCTCTCTCTCTCTCTCTCTCTCTCTCTCTCTCTCTCTCTCTCTCTCTCTCTCACTATAACACTGTTGTGGCATCACACTCACTCACTCACTCTATATTGTGTGTAAGTAGGGTATCCAGTGGAATTGTATTTGGATGATTTTCTGTTTCTGAACTCAGGCTTTCCGCTCAGGAGACAAAGGGGAGAAGGGGGAGTCTAAGGACAAGTCGTCACATGACAAATCATCGTCACATGAGTGGGCTTTTGAGTCTGCGAGGGAAGCTGCATCATCGGACAAGTTTTCCCGCACCTATTCCACGAAAACTGTCACAACTAAAACCACTCACGTTGTAAGAACAGCGTCTACTGCGTCAGGTGAGTTTCTGATCTTAATGTCTTAAACCACTCACGTTGTACAAACAGCGTCTACTGCGTCAGGTGAGTTTCTGATCATAATGTCCAAAACCACTCCCGTTGTACGAACAGTGTCAACTGTATCAGGTGAGGTTCTGATCATAATGTCCAAAACCACTCCCGTTGTACGAACAGTGTCTACTGTATCAGGTGAGGTTCTGATCATAATGTCTTAAACCACTTGCATTGTACGAACAGTGTCTACTGTATCAGGTGAGGTTCTGATCATAATGTCTTAAACCACTTCCGTTGTACGAACAGCGTCAACTGTATCAGGTGAGGTTCTGATGATAATGTCCAAAACCACTCCCGTTGTACGAACAGTGTCTACTGTATCAGGTGAGGTTCAGATCATAATGTCCAAAAACCACTCCGCTTGCGTAATCTAACAGCCAGTCCAGCTGTATCAGGTGAGGTTCTGATGATAATGTCCAAAACCACTCCCGTTGTACGAACAGTGTCTACTGTATCAGGTGAGGTTCTGATCATAATGTCCAAAACCACTCCCGTTGTACGAACAGTGTCTACTATATCAGGTGAGGTTCAGATCATAATGTCCAAAACCACTCCCAGCCAACTGTATCAGGTGATTCTGATCATAATGTCCAAAACCACTCCCGCTTGTGCAGAACAGTGTCTACTATATCAGGTGAAGTTCTGATCATAATGTCTTAAAGGTCACTGTCACCTCCGAATCGAAATTTCAACCAATCAGAGCTGCCACTCTGTGACGCCATATGAGGAATAGCTTTGAGGGCCGATGCAGAATTCATCTACATTTTAGGGGTAAATTATCTTGTTTACAGGCTTGTATAAACCTGAAATCGTGACAATTGTTGTGGAAAAATGAAAGCTATATGTTCTCACAATCTACTGGCATTTAATTTTTGTCTCCTGCTTTGCCTAGTTTCCGAGTTACAACTTGTTTTCATAGACGCTTCTGTCACAATTGATTGGTGTCGTTAGGCCCTATTTGTATAATGACTGATCCAAATTGATCCCATTTCTGTGTTTTTTTACCCTCGATATTTAATCATGTCATGTAAAAATCTGTTTGTATTCTCAAAACAGTGTCGGGCCCATAAGTTTTCACATGCAATACAGCAATTAATACTCCCTTTGTTGTAACCTCGTGTTAGGTGGTATAAACCTACACATGTTATTTGTCATCATTCACTTGATGGTCAGTTAATGAATTTATAACAGGTATAATTAGTGGTAACACACTTAGATTACCCGACAAAGGTTCCCATTTGGCATTTCTTGTGTCTGAGTAAATATTCAACATTATAAACATCGATCAAAGGATTAACCGATAACACGCTGATTGATTAATTACTTTATCTTACACAGCGGAATTGTCAAAAGGTAGTGTTTATGTATGTAGATTTACTAATCGATACTGAATACACTCTGCCGTGTCGGTGTCTGGCGAAAACAACGGGCCCTTCTTTCAAAGGATTAACCGGCAATACATTGATTGATTGCCCATTATTGGCTAACTAAATTACTGTTTTAATGAAATGGGGACATTATGCAATTAGTTGCCAGGTGTGCTATCTTGGGTGACCAATGAGACTATACACCAATACCTGAAAAGATTTATCACTTTTTCGTATATTAAACTGTTAAAAGACACATCATTTGGAACAGTTTTGTGGATATTGATGGATACATTCCTCAAACAAGGTAATGGCCTGATATTGTTCCTATAACTTAAATCTGTTTTAATTTTAATATTTGCATTTTGTTTTTTATTCATTTGTCATAGCATTCAACAGAATCATTGTTTTCGCCGTGAAGTGTAATGAGACAGACAAACATACACTAGGGTGTGTGTGCTAATTATGATTCACATTGGCAAACTATAAAATGTCTAGATATTACAGTTCTGTTATAAATTCACTATAAGTATCAGCAGATCGTCAGCTTTTATTTAGTTTCAAAATGCATAAAAGTATGATAATAAACTAATTAGGATTATAAGACCAAATATATAACGCATTACATGACTAGTATCTACATACTGGTGAGTGGACATTAACCATGTGAATGTAGCAAGAAATTTATCGGCGCAGTATTGTGACTTCGAACCCCCACCTCGCCTTCGTGGAAGAAATCGTTATGTTATAAGTTGTGTCATGCAAAATCCTTTTGGTTATGATTCCAATACATATTTAACTACGAGTAGAAAGTAGTTTTGATTTTCTAACTTGATGAAAAACAAACTATAATCTCATTAATTCTAACAGACTTTTACGATTTTTCAAAATGGCGGCATTCCCGTCGGGAACATCCACCAGTCTGTTGATAAATGCTATTTAGGTTTGTTTCACCGAGTTACAAAATCAAAACTACTTTCTACTGGTAGTAAAATATGTATTTTATTGATGGCCAATAGGATTTTGCATGACATAGCGTATAACATAACAATTTCTCGTGGAAAGTGAGGTGGGTGTCAATATAATACTACTTACAATATTATTGTTACTCCGACCACAACCTCACTTCCGAGGAAGAAATCGTTATGTTACAAGTTGTGTTATGGAAAATCTTTATGGTCATCAATCATATACATATTTTACTATAACTAGTAAGTAGTTTTGATTCTTTAACTTCCGTGAAGGCGATCTGAACACAAGTAAGATATCGTTTCATGCTTCCACAACGCTAGCTTCGCACTCTCACAAACATAACCCATTTAGCACGAACTGCGGGGTCCTGTGGAAATCTGTGCATGGTGACACCATCACCCTCGACCCTAGGAGCAATTGGCGACAAAGCAACGATTAGGCATGTCAGTCGCTCATGTCGAGAAATCATCAAAATGATGAGCATGCTACACACTTTCTATACAACTAACTGAAAATCGTTCCTCATATGACGTCACTGCAGTGCTCTGGCGACAGAGTTACGTAACCTGTCTGTGGTTTTCGGCATGGCTTAGAGGGAAGCAGGCGACTTTTTGGCCACTTTTAATCGCCGGTATTAATTAACCACAAGTTTTTAAAGAATAAATTTGGTGTTCCGCATAAGACCAACCACAAATCTTTCATATGTAATGGTTAAAAGAGTAACAAAAACAAAGTTTAGTGGTTCTTTAAACCACTCGCGTTGTACGAACAGCGTCAACTGTATCAGGTGAGGTTCTGATGATAATGTCCAAAACCACTCCCGTTGTACGAACAGTGTCTACTATATCAGGTGAAGTTCTGATCATAATGTCCAAAACCACTTGCATTGTACGAACAGTGTCAAATATGGTACTTGTTTGTCCCTGCCTGGCGCTCGGCATTAATGGGTACAACAAGGACTGGTCGGCTCAGTCAGTATAATGTGTCTCAGTGGGGTAAATAATCGAGTCTTGACCAGACAATCCAGTGATCAACGTCACGAGCATCGATCTACACAATTGGGAAATAGTGACATGTGTCTACCAAGTCAGAGAGCCTGACCACCCAATCCTGTTAGCTGCCTCTTACGGCAAGCATGGGTTACTGAAGATCAGTTCTAACCCGGATCTACTCTGGCACTCCCTAAGTTGATATACCCTGGGTATTGTGTTTTTTCCACATATGCACCCCTCAGGCATAGCCTAAATCAATAAACCATGGGTATTGTTGTGATTTCCAAGTCCGAACTTGTTCTCGCACTTTGATAAATAACTTTGATAAATAACACATATGGTGTTGTATTTCGTCTGTAGGCAAGACACAACCCCGTCACTCACCACCCAGCCTCAGCATCAAACAAAGTGCAGGAAAACCACCGAAGGCGGATGCGATTGTCAAGTGGGACAACCTGATTGCTGTTGCCGAGCATCCATTCCGAGGTCAGCAGTCATGTGACCTCTCGTTCAAACCAGGTAGGTCACACTACTTCGCAACTCGGAGAAACTACGCTCACACAGCAACAGTTATCATTGATCAAATCGGAGACTTCTATGCTTTGTCATTTTCTAAATCAACATACACAGTGTTTTAAGGTAACTGTTGTCTGTATTATAGTTAATGGCATTGATATTATCATGGGAATATTTTTGTTGAACTTATCTTTATTCAGAAAGAAAAGGGGCGGTGGGGTAGGCTAGTGGTTAAAGCATTGGCTCGTCACGCTGAAGACACGGGTTCGAATCCCCACATGGGTACAATGTGTGAAGCCCATTTCTGGTGTTCCCTGCCGTGATGTTGCTGGAATATTGCTAAAAGCAGCGTAAAACCAAACTCAGTCAGTCAGTCAGTCAGTCAGAAAGAAAATGAATCGTGAACAAGCCATGATTGCTTATGAACTCTTTCCCCAATATTTGTGGCATTAACTGCAGTATTAAGCAGCTGATTACATAGTTTTATGGTTTCGGGAAAGAACAATTTTGCATAGAATTCATGGTGACACCCAGGGGTCTAAATATTGTCACTGTTTCTTAGTTTGGAAGTAGTTGGAATAGGATGTAATAAATTTTTTGGACTGAAGCTGTAAATCATTTTCTAGAACAGCAGGGATGTACATTCTTGTCTTCTTTGAGCTATTGACTCCAAGTTCGCCTCCCTAGTCTCCCATAGCTAGCACCCTGCATGCCCCTACAGATCATCCATAAAGTATCGATATGTGTTTTCTTGTATTCTTTTTATTTTCTGGAATATGTTATCCCATATGTGTGGACAATATTCAAAATTTGGCATAATATAAGATGGGAATGTATTTCTTGTACCTACGATATTGGAGAATGATTGTTTAATGTTATAAAAATTGAATCTGTCATACATGATATGTTAAACTGATGAACAGGGTGATGCTGGACATTCTTTGAATAGTATATTAGCCAATCGCGTCAGACATTTTTTAGTTGGATGGTTATATCAGACAGATATTTGCGGCTATATTGGACTAGTATTTAAAAAATAACCAGATTTGGGGATAACACTATTAGGTGATGAGATTGTGTCTAGTCTAAAGTAGAGGCTATGTTTATGTCTGTGGAACAAGTACCAGCTGTTCTGATGTTTGTTTCAGGGGACAAAATCGAGGTTTTGACAAGGACAGACTCGCAGTTTGATTGGTGGGAGGGAAGTCTGCTCGACAAGGTGGGCATCTTCCCCGCTAACTTCGTCCGAGTTCTGTAAGGGGCTTTGTTCAGAGTTTTGCTGGCGGACATTTTTTCTGTCTCTCGCAGACATGCAACAACACATGGCTGCCCGTACCCAGATTCTGATCCAGGAGATGAAGAGGGCAGGAGGATGCTCTCAATACACGAGTTACAATGTGCACAAATGATGTGATAGGTTGACATGTAGATGTCTGTAAAAATGGGGACGTGTACCTCTCTTGCTAACACCTCTGCAACAGTTGTTGACCAATTGGACAGAAGTGGAACCGTTGTTGAGACTGTCTTCTGTTGTTAGTCATTGTTTAATGTTAAACTTTTTAAATTTGTATGTCAAAACCACACCTACTGTGATGATGATGTTGATATGACCGCATTTACCATTGATTACATTTTCCCCCGAAGAAATCAGAATATTTACACATGTAAATATATTTTATTTCCTGCATATTTGACATATTCATGAAAAGATGAATTCGTGACTCATTCGCCAAATTTTACCCCAGAAGCAATCCTATTTCATCTTTTTACAAGTCTGTATTGGGATGAAGTGCATGCACCATTCAACTGTACCGTGTATGATGGTGTATCTCAAGGTTCTGTGAGTCTGACGTGTTTTGTTTTTCCTGTTAGTTATGTAATAGTGAGATGACTATGAGGATATTATTAAGGTATTAGCGGATGTTAAGATTTATCCTGATTTATAGGCACAAACCCACTGTCTCAAGCCAAATACGGTCAAGTTCATCATGGCATGCATAGGCGGATCTAGAGGGGGTGTGCAGGGGTGCACACCCCTTTTGTCCTGAATGTTCATTCAATGACCATTGAAACTCTCATGAAAATGAAGTGTGCAACCCCCCCTTCTCAATAGTGTGCACCCCCTTTTGTCCTGAAAGTTTATTAAATGCCCATTGAAACTTGTGAACATGAAGTGTGCAACACCACCACCCCTTCTCAATAGTGTGCACCCCCCTTTCTAAAAAGCTGTATCCACCCCTGATGGCATGTGTAGTACACTCACTCCTCAACACAGCTGTGCTTTTTTTAAAAATGTGCTAACTATACAGAAGGAGGTATGGTGTCCCTTCTGCCATGTGATTGAGACTGGTGTGGTATATATATATATATATCACAGTTGTGATAGACTTCTGGAGACCAATCATTTCTTTGTACAAGTGGTCCACAGTGATCTGCTGAAAGTGGCGCTGATAAGTAGCTACAGAATATTTGGTCAATGCTTCAAGACATGCGATGTATTTGTCTGCAAGGGTCCCAGATTCAGTGTTTGCTACTTACAGCCAATGACTGGTATGACAAGGACAAACTTTATGGATGCACAATTTCTTTTTTCAGGTGATGCGACATTTCGATACAGATTCTGTACCGTTGTCAAGCAAGAATCTGTATCGAAACCTGTATTCGCATTACCTGAATAAAGAAGTTGTTCATATCTGACTCTTCTAGAAAGGCCAATCAAAGAAACTTATGACTGATTATTCATTTTTTGTTAAACATGAGTCAAAATAGTTTTAAGATGTATTTTTCTGCTCAGGGTGAAAAAAACAGAATGTTTAAAAATACATTACATTTTTTATAGATAACATTTAATCATGTTCTTCCAATTTCTAAATGCCTTTCAAAGACTTCAGGATATTCAAGGTTTTCTGAAACTTGTTTTCTGGGAATTATTTATTGCCAACATTATGACAATTTCAAGCAATTGTTTCACTGTTTCTTTTGTCCAGTGCTGGATGGTATGGTGATGGTGTTTTTCAGGTACATGTGTATTTTAATGAGCCTATTATCAACTATTTGTTAAATGTTTTATTGTTATGTACAGTGCAGAAGGTCAAGGTCAACATCAATGTAATGTCTTCATGTGTTCAATCAAAAGTGTCATGTGAGCATGATTTTTATCAATATCTGTTAATTTATTATTTGCTGCAAAAAATGTTCCATTTGTCAAACAAGAGGATCAGGATTGGCCCAGTTGTCAAGGGTTCCACTATTTGCTGCTCAGAGTTGCCTCCCCTCACCATGTTAAGATAGCCTGATGGCTTGAATCTCACATTCGTCCTACTCTTTCTCCTGGGCCCCATTTCACAAAAATATAGTAGCGCTAAGGTGATTGTAACTCCCATACTTTAACATAGACGCAGTCGGAGTGCTACGATCGCTTTTTGAAACGGGCCCCTGGTCTTTTTAGTGCCTCTGAGGTGAAGTAGATACAGTGTATGACAGAACGTGGAATGTTGGTGCTTAGATCAATGGCTACATCAAAAGACATGAACAAATGGTACTTCTTGTTACCCTGCCTGATGCTTGACATGAGGGTATTTATAAATGTTGAACTGAGTCATGGTATATAGTGGACTTGCACACAAATGCATGTACATATGTAATTGTAAACCAAAAGTCACTGGGTTCTTTAATCTGATTGGTTGAAAAACATGATCAAATGGTATTCGATTCCCAGAAATACGCTGCATATTAATATGTACAAACATCGCTCACACCATTGTATTGTTACGTCGTCAGCTGTGATGACGTCATTCAAATCATATTGTGACGTAAAGTCCGAATGACGTCACAAACGAGCAGTTCCAGATGCTACCATGGAAGCCAGCCGAAATGGCCAGCTGATGACATTTCACTGCTGTACCCGTAGTCGATGTCAATGAGTGCAGACACAAAAACGTGTGTGGACCTTTTGGTTTACTTTTGTGTTTACAATGTCGATAAACATCATGTGTTGGCCAATTTCCGGGTGTTATTGAGTATTTGAGGCACAGGAATATTTCATTTGAAACCTCCGGCTGACTTCGGTTCCAAACGAATTCCCATGCTTCAAATACTCAATAACACCCAGAAATTGGCCAACACATGATGTTTATCTCCTAAGTGAAGTATTCTTGAACACACACAACCTTAAACAGCATCTACTCTCACCTTGTCTTTCAACATGGCAGTGGTCTGTGGGTTTCACATAACAGACACACTACCGCTGCCTATATCACATCTGGTGTTTTATCAAAATATTGCCGGATGTTACATGAATTGAAAAAAACCTTCTCCAAGCTGTTTAACCTGGGTCAGCACTGTCAAAACTTTAAAATATGATAAAGGCATCTGATTGGACAGCTCCACACAAAATTGTGACATTTTGATTTGGTACCAATTTAGCCTGATCACGTTACCCTTATTCACTCAACTGTCGGGTCAATTATTGTGCACTTTATATTTTTAGATACACACTTACTGGCCAATATATTTTGCACCTTTTTGCATTCCTAATGGCAATATTTATCTTTGTATGAAAATATTGTTCACACTTTATAATAATACATGAAAACATACTGGTATCTTCTTGTTTGTTGGGTTTTTTAATGTTTTGGTCCTGGTTTTACATATAGGAATGGACCCGTGAAGATCCGGGGTAGAATAGGTCTTCAGCAACCCATGCTTGCCACAAAAGGCGACTACGCTTGTCGTAAGAGGTCACTAACGGTATCGGGTGGTCAGGCTTGCTGACTTGGTTGACACATGTCATCGGTTCCCAACTGTGCCGATCGATGCTCATGCTGTTGATCACTGGATTGTCTGGTCCAGACTCGATTATTTACAGACTGCCGCCATATAGCTGGAATATTGCTGAGTGCAACGTAAAACTTAACTCACTCACTCACATATAGGAATGGAGGGATGTCTTCAAACTTCCAGCTATTATGTGAGATCCAGTGGTGATTCAGGGTTGGAAATCACACTTTATGGGGGCAGGTCATTCCAATTGAAGTCAGATGTTAGTGGAATTAGTTTTGGTGGGACGCCAGCGTTAATACTCTGACTGGGTCATGGGTCGACCGGCTTGCTGAGCTGAAACTATTTACCATGCAGAGTTGCACCCCTTGGCCTTGTGGGTTTAAATCCCTGTTTGTAGCGACCATGCAGAGTTGCACCCCTTGGCCTCATGGGTTTAAATTCCCCTTTGCGACCATCTTTGTAGCGACCATGCAGAGTTGCACCCCTTGGCCTCATGGGTTTAAATCCCTGTTTGTAGCGACCATGCAGAGTTGCACCCCTTGGCCTCGTGGGTTTAAATCCCTGTTTGTAGGTTTCCAGGTTTGTCAATGCTATGCTCGAGATCATAGTTGTTTTAACAAAGAGGTAGTTGTCTGAGACAAGAATCTTTTAATACATTCCTCTTATGCTAAGGGAGCATTATTAATTTATGGTTAGGGGGTGGGATGTTGATTGTTATGGAGAAGCATGTACAATGTGAATAACAACCCCCCTTCCCCCTAAGATTTGTACATAAGCATACATTTTTACTGTTTTGTATGTACAAAAGTTGTGAAGATGAACCTGGACCAGACAATCCAGTGATCAACAGCATGAACATCGATGATGTGTGCACGGACAATGAATCCATATTCACTCGGTATAAAAAAAAGGGTCAAAAACCCTCCCTTAGCTTTATATAGACGTGTTTACATAAGGACACTGAAGATACATTGTGGAATGACTAATTTCCTAATATTATGCCTATTAGTTGATCAATTTAGGAACGTAAATATTTTTTTTTTATTCAGATTTGTTATTTATACACATTGAACGTGCGTGCGCTTTAAAAGCTTTTCGTTAAAATTATTCTTATCTTAATCAGGGCTTGGGTAGCTCATAATAGAATCGCCCTATCACCACAATAGAGTAATTAGTACAAGCTGGTCATATATGAATTGTGTACTTGCCCCGGAACATGTATTTCATAACCAGCGTCGCCAATGAGCGAGGTGCACGTGCGAAGGTCACACGTGTTTCACGTGCATCACTAAAGGGCGGCTGACAGAGTTGTCACAGGTAAGAGTTCTTAAGTATGTTTTTGACGCTTATGACTGGTGGTGGTGGTGGAATTGGGTTTAACGTCGTGCTTGAGAATATTTCGCTCATATGACGACGTGCATGCGTGTGTATGTGTATGTGCGGCTGCTTGTACTAGCCCAGACTGAAGCTGGTTTTATAGTGCTAGCCCACTGAGATACCATGCCGCAGAGAAGCATGAATACCCCA